TCCTTCAACACAGAGCATCTTCAGAAGATAAGTTGATAAAGTAAATTTTAAAAATCTGTATTGTTCCATACACAGTGTGTATTGAACCTAAAGCACTATTCGATACGGGTACATGTATTGTTGCACCCCTACTAGCTAGCTAGCTAGCTAGTACTGTATGCTTRCTCAGTGTATACATTTCTGAATTATTTTCATCGGACACTGATTGTAAAAWTTACAACTTCTAGCCATTTACCTTTTTACTGTCTTTATTGTTTTCTTTTTTTCTGTTTTTCACAGAGCTGATAGTTCCTTCAACTTCATGGCCTTCTTTTTCGTCTTCTTCCTTCAGTGTGTTTTAGCGCTCATCCAGACTGTAGGCATCTCAGGATGGGGAACATGGTGAGTTTGAATAGTTTTGAAAGCTTTAAAAGCCTGTCCGTATATYTCAGTTAGTCACAAATGCTTTTGTCAACTGGTAGCAAGAAAATTTGCTCTTTACTAGACATCTAGTATTAGTCATGACACAATTAATATGCTGTAAACTAAATACACTTGGAAAACATAGAGTAAGCAGTGAGCACTGAGGTGAACAATCATCCCTTAGTTAGTTGACATTTACTCACAAGGTTTGTTGTACTATCAGCGTAAGGAATTATCTAAAGTTGGTGGCCATCCTTTTCAATATTGATTTGAAGTTTGTTTTATTTTTTATTAATTTAATCAATAAATTCATTAAAGTACAGCGTAACAGTCTTCTCCAACATATAAACACAACATAACCCTAACGCACAATGACTACGCATGATGCAAAACACGCTCAGAACCCCGGAAATTTTGAGACTGGCACACGTATTCATAATCTTAATGATGCTTCAAATTTATATCTCTTTTAGAAAAGGAAAAGATAACAAAAAGTTATTAAGAATGGAGAAAGGGTTATTGAGTTAATTTGACTTAAAGAGCTTTTTAAAAAAAAAAGAGTAAACAATTCATTCATTTTCATTTAAAAACAAAGCAAATACTATTCAAAAAAAAATACAATTGATTAATTAATTTGACCTAGAGGTTTTTTTAGACAGTTTAATAAAAGCATGACTTCGTCAGAAATCATTCATGCAGATCAGTGCAGTATTTTAGATCATTTTTATGTCATTGCAATAATGTAATGTAATGGGATGAAATTAAATGCATTATGAGAATTACTCATTTTTGCATCACATTCATTTTGTTATTTCAAAAACAAGCTTTGCTTTTTCTAGATAATGGCAACTTTAAACTTTAAAAAGCAGTTACAAATTACTTTGGTAAGTTTATATTTTTTTTATCATAGCAAAAAAGATGAGAGACAGGAGAGATGATGATTGTTGATTTTTAACAATGTATTTAAAAAAGTGAGCAGAAAATCCCTAGAAATAAACATTTCCAAGTGGCAGAATTTGTCTAACCTAAAACTGAAAGATAAAGCCTTTTAAACAAAACTTACCAAAATAAAACCAAGACTCTGAGCAGTTTAATCCTTGCTGCATAACTTGCTTTGTCCTGCATGAACATAAATTCTGTCACATTGAGCAGGCACACTCTGCATGAGCCCTGATGGAAATGTATTTCTAGGCCCAGCATTGAATTTTATTTTCCATTTCTACAACAACTTTTTTCAAACTATTGTTTCTACAACAATTATTTTTAGAATAAGCCACCTAAAGCTTCAATAGTCATTTTTTTCATGTCAGCCATTTTATTTTACATGCTATGAAATTGACACAAAAACTCAAACAGGTATACAGAAATTTATCAAAAAACATGGGAATGGGGTATGAAGTGGTATAACGTGAAGTGGCAATAAATAAAACTACCTTTTTCTGTGGCCCTTGGTACAGTTAGATCCATATCTACTTGGACACTGACAAAAATCTTGCTTTTTACCAGTTTACTGAAACATATTCAAGAACATGGACATACAAGTCCATGTCAGAAATCCGGACTTTCAGCTTTCATTTCAAGGTATTAAAATTGGTYTATTAAAAGGTATAAAAAGGTATATTAAAATTGGATGAAGGGTTAAGTTCAGTTCTTTTAACATGTGCCCACCCTGCTTTTAAAGAGACCAACAGTGGTGGGCACCAGTCTGCTKAAGCGCAAATCTGCTAATTGCAGACTTAAATATTTCGTTTGTGCTTTAGCGGTCTTACTAATTTTTATAATTCATAAYCYGATTTGCGCTTTCTAAAATTAAAATGCAGTACCGCTAATAARTAATTATCTACCAGTCATCATTATCTTGAACAGCAGAAGGTATGGCTGTCAATGAATCACAACATGTGATCTATCCAACAGCACCCCTCCCAGATAAACACACTTATTGTGAAGGTATACATCCTGCTGACTGTTGATCTTGGTCACAGTTCTCATTTCCCACAATGCTTTGTGTCTGCTTAGTTACGTAGCAGGAAGGCATTGTTTAGAAACTCCCTTTCCCAGCAAAAAACAGTAAACATTTGCAATCCATACTAAAATTTTGTGTGTATTGATTTATTTTACTTTACAATCAGAGCTCCTTTTTCAAAACAAAATAAAGTTTAAACGCTGAAGCTCAATACTTGACGTAATTGGTCGAAGCAATCCACCAACGGGGTTAGACAGCCATCTAGTGGTCAACTGGAGCAACTACATGGAAAACTTTTGTTTCCCGTCACAAATCAAATCCGTCATGTGTACCCAGAATGCATCGCTTCAGTTTTCCAATAAACAGTTTTAAAATTACTTTATTGATGCTTCTTTAATGAAAAATCTACAACAAACAAAAGAAAAAGACAAAGAAGCAGCKGAACTAGCAATCCTCAACAACTTTTTCAATTTTTACACCAGGAGCCAAAAAGGTCTGTTTCAGGAACTCGCATCCCCAGCAATCGACGCTTGTAGAATTAAGCTGTACAAGTGTTCATTCACCGCTAGTTGGCAGTGTTGTACATATATTGTACAGTTGTTGCCAGTTAGTACGTGTCAAATTGAACTTGTGCTTTAGAATTAGCTTCCGCTAATTTTTCTATGGCATAAGCGTTCTTGAAGTTGCGGACCTAACTATTTTCATAAGCACTTAAAAATTGTGAAGCTAATTTTTGGATTTGCGCTGCCCACCACTGGAGACCAAAAGTATAATTACAATTGACTCAAAGACTAGGCCTATTACATGAGCAGGTGTGGGTAATTCCTTCATAATGTCATTCTTAATGAAGCAGATACAAGGCCTCGAGTTGATTTGAGGTGCAGTGCTTGTGTTTGGAAGATGCTGCTGTGAATAAAACTTGCCGTCAAAGGAGATCTCCATTCAGGTAAAACAAGCTATCCTTAAGCTGCTAAAACAGAAAAAAACATCAGAGAAATTACTACAATATTAAGAGTGGCAAAATCAGAGCTTCCTTTCTCAGTTTGGTACATCCTGAGAAAGAAAGAAAGCACTGGTGAACTCATCAATGCAAAAAGACCTGGGCGCCCACAGAAGACAACAGTGGTGGATGATGGCAGAATAATCTCCATGGTGAAGAGAAACCCCTTCACAACAGCCAACCAACTGAACAACACTCTCCAGGAGGTAGAAGTATCAATATCAAAATCTACCTAAAGACAGAGGTTCTCCGTTTTGGTCCTCATGACCCACTAGCCTGCATGTTTTAGTTGTCTCTCTGCTTTGCAGGTCAAGTTCTGTAGAAGCTTGTCAATCAGTCATTCATTTAAATCAGGTGTACCAAAGCAGGGAAACAACTAAAACATGCAAAATGGTGGACCACGAGGACCAGAACTGAGAACTACTGCTTAAAGAGAAGACTGCCTGAAAGTAAATACAGAGGGTTCACTGCACAGTGCAAGACACTCATAGCGCAGAAGAATAAAAAGGCTAGACTGAACTTTGCAGAGCATTTTTTGGACACACGTAACCAAGATCAACCTCTACCAGGATGATGGAAAGAACAAAGTATGGTGTAAACGTGCGTGGTACAGCTCATGATCCAAAGCAGACCACATCATCTGTAAAACATGTTGGACACAGTGGCTGTGGCTCATTTCACGGGCTTCATGCTCWTAAGTACGTAGCCAACTTGGACCATGTGGGCTACATCCTTCCCAGTCCTATAGGCTGCATGAAACTGCTGTCAAGTCAGATGGTCTAGCCTTCGCTTGACGTCGGCTTGACGCAAGCTTGCGTAATGACTCGCTGCCCACTTACCACGTTCACACATCTTTTCACCAGAGGAATAACTTCAAAGTTAAAACGTTACATGTAAGTAAATAAAAACATTAATAATTTGGGTTTAGCTCCATTAACTACTTGTAGCTGCATTTTATTTAAAGGGATCCCTGATTAGTTTTAACATTAGACGTTATTTGATAAACATATATTTTAACTGTAAAATAAAGACTGTAAAAATACTATAGCCTGTTTAGTTTTGTAAATTTTAAATAATATATTTTAACACGGACAGAGCCATTTTATTTACACAAAAAGCATTCTGGGTAAATGATGACGTGGATACGTAGCGCCGACACTATATTGCCTTATGTATTAGCTCGGTGCTAGCGCAACAAACAAGCTAAGCTGAGGTTGTTCTTCCATGAAGGAGCTCTGTTGTCCTCCATCCATATTTTCAGTTCCAGGCTGAGTCATTTCTACCTTCTCCTCTCTGTCAACGCTCTCTGGTTTCATAAAAGAGTCGATCATCAGATATTGTCCAAGATTAACCTTCAGGGTGGATATAGCTCGCTAGCAGCCTCGCACCGAGGACCTATCCACGTCATCATTTACCCAGAATGCTTTGTGTGGAAATAAAATGGCCCCGTCCGTGTAATATATTTTTAAACTTTTTAGTTTAAAAATGATATAAAAACTGAACATCCTACAGTATTTTTACTGTCTTTATTTTACAGTTAAAATAAATGTTTGTTAAATAAAGTCTAATGTTACAACTAATCATGGAMCCCTTTAACATCTTAGTGCAGCATGAATTTCAACAGCTAAGTTGCTAAACTTACATTTACAAACAAATTCTTCAGTCTGGTGGAGTTCCAAACTACGCCGACTTGGTCTTCGTTTCTGTTTAGTTTGCTCTCGGCCCACTTAATCCTGGGATATCCTCGGCCGGGAAGGATACTCTGATGCATCCTTGATTTTTGAGATTTTGTGGGCCGCATGAGGAGGAGCCTTCGAATTGGGACAGCACTCTGTGCGGGGCAGTAACGTATGCAACCCCCAAGTATTAGAAATGACCATTTTATTTACATTTAATTAGTTCAACTACTTTTGAGACCCCAAAATAGTTCCTCACATTTCTATGAAGTCATTTCGTTTAACCTGCTGAATTAAAGCTGAAACTTTTGAAGTCTGAACTTCATCTAAATGTTTTTTCAAAATTCATTGTGGTAATTTACAGAACCAAAATGAGTAAACTGTTGTCTCTGTCCAAATAGATATGGACCTAACTGTGTAGTCCTGTCATATATCACATTTTATTTGCACACAGTAAACGACACAATTGAATTCTGGTTTTGTGATTTAAAAAAAAAAAACATTTTTATCTTTTCTTTAGATACTGGTGACATTTTGGTGTGATAAATTTAACCAGTCCTGTAGTTCTTCATAAACAGCACACGTTTTATTTATTTATTTACAGTATGTATTATTGTAATCAGAAAATAGTTTTTGTATTTGTGCATAATGTCCCTTTAYCTTACATTTATTAATCCTCTCTTGTCACCTCAAATTTTTCTTGGGTTCTTAATATTCATAAAGCWCAGTTTCCCTGATATATTTTTAAACATGCTCCAAAGTTAGGAAACTGAACTCATGCTTTTAATAATTTCACACTTCACTAGTGCTTTTAATGTGTTGTGTTGAATTAATTAAAAACCAGTATGCTTTTTGTCACTGCATCTCAATTCTCACTGCTTTAGTACTTCAGTTTATTAAATTAGAGAATAAATCCACCTTGCTGTATGTGCACTAACTCTGCTTCCATCTCATTCTTACCAACTCATCAAAGCGGCTGGATTGTCACAGTGGGCTTTTTCAGCTACAATGTAGGCTCGGCTGTAGTGATGCTAATCACAGCTCTGCTCTTCACTGCAGTGACTGCTTTAATGGCACTGGTTCTCATCCAGGTGAGTAAAAATATGAGGATGAAAACTTGTTTTTTTTTTTATTACAGACACTTGAAAACATTCACAAATACACTTGGTGTGAATTTTTATCACCTGTTGCCACTAAAAGGCAAAGGTGGAAAACCAAAACGAAAGAATAAGTAGGTCCTCTTGATAGCTTTCTCTTTAATGAAATGTTTCGTCAATCCTTTAAGTAGTGYTGTGACGTTCACGAACGATCCGAATCTTTTGAARGGCTCTTTACAACGAATGACAGGAGCTGAGTCGCGGGCAGGAACGAGCCATTTGTAATTTTATATATTTTATTCCTCATATAATCTTTATTATTTCATCCTTAAATTGCTCCCGCTTTGCATTTTCACGGAAAACAGGCAGAGCGGTGGAGAACAGAAGCTCACGGGAAAGGGGGAGGGGGATTTCTGCTTGACAAAACACATGGTTCCGCCCACGTAACGTGATGATGTCATCACGTATTTCCCTACGTGATGATGTAACTCGTTCAAAATCGAACGGCTCTTTTGAACGGCTCTATGAAACAAACGAGATCCTAAGATCTGGATCCCATCAAAGAGCCATTTATCCCATCACTACCTTTAAGAGACCTCTTCAGTCTGAGGAGTTTCAGGTGAACTCAGCCTTATAAGCTCCGCCTCCACATAGTAAACAAACAGGTTAGTCASATGCAAAAGAGGACCATCGGTCAAACAATAGGTCGTTAGTGCCATGATTAACTCTATTGTTCATAGACAGTCATGTGCCCCATCACCTGACTATCACTGGGGTCCTGATTCAAACCTATTGCTCAAAGGGGGCGGAGTCATAATTGCAATACAGCGTTGTAAGAGGGGGACAACTGAACTTGAGTCTCTTGGAGGAGAGACAAAATTTATCTTTTAAAAAGAACCCGTCCAGAGGACCTACTTACTTTTTCTTTTTGATTTTTCTACCGGGATTACTGAGATGCATCAGGACAAAGGTGGATAACATTTTTGCAAGTAATTTTTTTGTCTTTATTTTTGTGAGTGTGTGTTTGTTAGCAAAACATCCCCAGATTTTAATAAAGCACACAGTAAGTAATCCAGGTATTTAAAGCTACAAATGAACACTGTTTTGTGTTTGGAGTGAACCTGAACTTTGCATGTCCTTTTATCTACCTGCGTTCATGTGGATGTATTATTTGTTAATCATGTGTTTCTGGTGTGAGCAGTCATCATTTTCACATCATTAAGTTTCCCAAAATCACCMAAGTGTCACCAATGGAACCAGAACAACAGAAACGTGCGTACGCCAGCCCTGGAGTTAGTGTGGGGCTGTGCACATTTCCACATTCATTTCAGTTTTGATACATCTGGAGTTTTGCATGGAAAAGGGTGTATGCAAGCTTTTTATGCATACGCACAGTTGATACATGAGGCCCTACTGCCCCTGATGTCCACGCAATATTGTAGAGTTCATTAACCAACACAACCCCACAACATCCAGAACCATAAGAAACTTTTGGCAAATCACATCCACTTTCGGGWAGAGGTGGGCGATACCGGGAATTTTGGTATCGATCTGATACCAAGTAAATAAATACAGGGCCAGTATCGCCGATATCGATACAGATACCGATACTTTTAAGCTTCATAATTTGAAAAGATTCAAAAGATCTAGGATAGAATTTCGCCAAACAATGTAAGTGACAACAAAATACTTTATTATAACAATCAACATTTTTGCTTGCCGACCATAGAGCAGTAACAAAACAATTTCCTTTAACATTAGGAAAATAAATCTTTTTTTACAAAAATTCCCAGTATCGCCCACCTCTACTCTTCAGTCTGTGACCTGCCTAATCAGTGAGAACCCTGAGCGGGTGGGACAGGTTGAGTTAGCTGTTTGGCTAGTGCTGCTGAGCCACCAAAAGACGAGGTGGGTGGGTACGCTGCCCCGTGCTGTGTGTGACGCAGTGCAGACTTTGAGAAATCCACGTGTGCAGCAGTCAGTGTGTGCGGGAAAGAACAAAGCTTGAGTATCGATCTTTTTACACGAGTATTGTTCGATATCAATACCAGTTGATTATTATCGATATTTAGTATTGATTCGCCCACCTCTACTTTCGGGGCCTTGCCAGTGCTGAGCTTTTTAATCACCTCGGTGACCTCAGCACCGGAGATTGGAGAGCCTAACCAGGGCCAGGGTCCCCAGGCCCTGCTTCCTCATGCTGGTGGGATTGAGGAGGTCTTTGAAGTATTCCATCCACCGACCCACAACGTACCAAGTTGAGGTCAGCAARGCACCATCCCCAACATAAACAGTCCTGGTGAACTGCTTTCCCCATCTGCGACGCCTGGTGGTGGAGTAGAATCGTCTCGTTGTTCTCCATGGCCTCTCCAAACTCCTCCCATGTCCGAGTTTTTTCCTCAGCAACCACCRGAGTCGCAATCTGCTTGGACTGTTGTTACCCATCAGCTTCCAGAGTCCCGAAGGCCAAAAGACTGGCGTCCACCAAAAGGTTCAAGGGTTGCCGCCACGACAGGCACAGACAACCTTGGAGACACAGCTCCTGTAAGCCGCTTTGACAATGAAGGCCTGGAACATGGCCCACTTGGAGTCAATGTCCCCCACCTTCCACTGGCTTTTTTTAATTAACAAAGTTTAATTATGCATCAAGCTTTACCTGTATCGACTCATCATCAAGCAACAATTAATTAATGAAGTTTTCACTTATTTAAATCATTTATCAGGAATGATGATCATAGTAAATCCAACTGTAAATAACCATGAAAAACACTAAACACATGTAAATAATATCTACACTGGAGTTTGGAACAGCGGGTCAGAAACCTGTGCAGGAACYCAGTCTTTTTACACAAGAGATGGTGAGTAAAGCAAATGATTTAGGTAATGTAGTTAACAACAAACTTTATTTTGAGGGGAAAACGAAGAAAATGACATTTCGACGTCTGGCTGCATTTTCTCCAAAGCGACCTGTAATCACAGCGCAGCAACAAACTCAAGCTGCTTTTGGACAGCAACAATAATGACAAACTCCGCACAATTTTTTGTTAACCCTGACAGCAAAAGTTGTCTGTTCTGGGTCAAATATAGGTGAGCATTTGGCCCAGACAAGTAAAAGGACCACGGGCTCCTTTTTTTTCTCCACAACCCGTCAGCATGGATCTGGAGGTTGGATGGCTGTACACAGGCTTGGGCCAGGTGTGGCACAAACACAAAAATCTTATTTTATTTTTAAGCTGATTTGGTCGACCCGGATGGGATCAGATCAGAACCAAAACGTTTTTTGCAGGCTCATGATCACAGCCCGACCCAGAGCTGGAACATGTGCGTAAACCCTTCGACTGTTCTCCACACGGATTGTGCGCCCTCATTTAAATACTTTATTAATTTATTATCAAGAGTTTTATCATTTTTACATCATTTGGAACATTTTATAGACACATCATTGATTGACTTACTCATGGTACACATTGACAGAAAATACTAAAGCAACCATGAACAAAATGAAAAAGAACAATGAAGAAAAAAAAGGGACTTTTAAATAATGAATACTTCTGTAATTACCGTATTTATTCAAGTATAATGTGTAAAATTTAATCCATAAAATCATCCATAAAGTTGGGGGGTAGTATTACCCCTAATTTACAGTACTTGTGTTCCGTCTCCGCTCCGCTGCGATCCGACCTCTGCAGCAAATACACACCCGTTATAATCAATGACAGTGTTTACACTGGCGGCGCAGGGCAGCGGTGAGCGGACGGCGATCCATCAAAATTAGAACCATCTTATTTTTGCCGGATGCTGGAGCAGCGCCGGAG